ACAATCTATGCCATAAACATATCTCTGTATCCATTATTTTAAAGCTTTATAGGATTATTCTCTCATTTGAAATATTGTCTTTTGTATCTTGTAAAGTTACTTAACACATGAAGTTACAAATTCTATAATTGGTTTTAAGTCTTGGGTTCTAATAAGCCTTCCTTCAAGGAAAGTGTAACAGTAAAAGTCTAAAAATAAAACAGGAATTTTATGAGGAAAAAAAAAGATGAAAGTGAGAGCAAGACTTTTTTTTAATTAGCAAATAAAAAATGAGAAAAGTGGACTTACTATTAATTTGTAATTATACACCCGCTTTTCCCTTGCCAGCATCAATATTTACTTTTCTCCTCATCATGATTGAAAGGAATGACTTGGGCTAAACATATGAAATTGTTTTTCTCATTCCTTGATATCATTTTATTAACTATCAAAGCAGCCCACATACTCTTAGTGAAATGGACAAACCTGTGTCTCACTGACATAAACTGAATATTAACTACTGAGAAGATGGAGTCACATTTTCAGATCCACTTAAGAAATCTCTAGCCTCTCCCTGAGACCAGGGATGAGGACAGTCCATGCGCATCATCTCTGAAGGTGGTGGAATTTCCTATTAGTCAGTCAAGTGGGGCCATACATCTGTGGACCCAATATCCCAGCACAGTGTGAGCCGACTCCTTCCTCAGCATGTGCCGGTCTGCAACCCAAGCTTGTTAAAGGATCCGACCAAACCTGGGCTTTGAGAAGCAACTGCAATCCAAGTCAGGGAAATGGATGAAGGATGTGTGATTGCCCAGAAAGATTCCACATCCCCTGCTCTTTTACCTCGATCTCTTTGTCTGGACTCTCTCATGTGGTTGGTCCCTTGAGATCATCGCGTTTACTCTTACCTTTTCTGTTTTTCCAGGCAAGGACTCTTGAAAGTTCCTCTGGCGCCCAGCAGGAACTTTGCATACCGTATTCATTGCTGTCCCTTTGTCCCCTCTTTTTAAATCCTTCTCCCCGTTTCACAACTGCAGACTCAGTCCAAGCAAACCGTCTCCTCTGATGGTCATGCATCTTTCTAATGGACAGAACGAGTCTTCTGGCCTTGCTCCCTAGGCACCAAGTCTTGCTTTACTGTGTGGTTTATACAGACTGCACCCACCCCCTGCTGAGCCTCGAGAGGGTCAATTTGGCTTTTGCACAGGGCTCACCTTTGATCTGCAGACCCGAGGAAGGAAGTGGAGAAGGACCGCTCCTGCTACTGCTGCTTCTGTCTTGGCCTTTATTGATACGGGTCTTATGTCAGAAAGAGATCTGCCTTGTATTTCTCACCATGAGGGTATATAACTGCTCATGTTTACTGTTTGACTTCAAAGCTGTCCTGAGTGCTAATGCTTTAAGATCATCAAACAAAGGGTCAGTCTTAGCTTACTAACATCCTTTGTCAAATAAAGCAGAAAATGAGGGGATGAGTGGCTAGATGGATTTTCAACATTATCTTTACTAACTAAACATTGGCTGAGTACCTACTGGAATGTTCTCTCTCTCATGCGCGCACACACACACATACTCCCCTCGCTGATCCAATGCATCCTTCTTCAGAACTGCCCTAAATCTAGCCTCCACTCTGTCTTGGCATTCTCACCTCGTCCAGAAATCCCTCACGTTGCCTGTATTTTTCACCACAGCCTGATTAATCTCACTTACTCCTTCATGCCATCTCATCTTCTCTGCCGTGGCCAGAATAACCGTTCTAAAACAGAAGACCGACCATGTCACTCTCCTGCCTCACAGCTGCCACTAACTCTGACTTGCTACAAGATAAAATTCGAACTCCTTGGCCTGGCTTACTCAGCTGCTCCGTCTTCAGTCAGTGTCCACCCATAGTCTCTTTTTTCCCTCTTTTCATCTCTTCCATGCACTCTACGTTGCCAACAATATAGACATTTTGCTGGGAAAGACAGAGCTGATTTCAAAACACCGTTTGTTAGCTTTGTGAAAATGGGTCTAAAGTCACTCACTCTTTCTGAACCTCACTGTTTTCCTCAGTCAAAGGGAAATTGTTTGTAAAAGGTAAAGATTGTAAAGATGTAAAGTATAATGTCAGCAGTTATCCAGCTCAGAGCTAGTTTCCATCTATGCCTTTCCGTCATCCCCTCTACCTGAGGTCTCTCTCTTTATGTGACAAACTCCTGTTCAGACTCAAGTCACCAGGCATCTTCTCTATGTATGTTTTTCTGCCTTCCCCAGAGTGAGTTAGACATTTTCTGCTTTGGGCTCCCACAATAACGTGTGGTATTTGTTATATCGCGATATGACAAGATATTATTATAAGATCCTTTACAAAAAAAGAATGTCTTTTTTTAAACTCTGTATCTTAGCTAAGCATGTAATACAGCCTCAAAAAACATTTGTGAACATGTGAATGAATATATGAAAGCATTATGTTGGGTTCTGCAGTCCAGTTCTTGAAGAATTCATCATCTTAAAGGGTGTAGAAACATCCACTCAAATAAGCATAATGTGAACCTGACTGGAAGTAAGGCCTGGTTGAGTGAAAATTAAGTGTAATGGCAGTTGGCCATTCTACCTGAAAACAAAAGCCATTCCTACTTGAACTGAGTCCTAAAGCATCCATGTGGAGTTAACTTTCCATTTTGCTTAATCTGCCCATTCGTTTATTATGTTCACTTCTCTCATACCCCATAGAACCCTAAATTTTGGTGGCAGAGAGCTAGAGAATTCTTAAACTTTGGTCAGCAGTTCTCAGGAAATGTTGTAAAAGAACATACAAAAAGTTTTTCATAGTGCAATTTTGAGTGCAATTGTAATTTTGCATATAAACCCTGAAGCCTGTAAATTACTGACAAATCGTATATCTTTGAAAATGAAAACAGACTACACCAAGAAGATAAAGGTTTGAAAACTATAGAGCCATAAAAATCTTATGTTTTCATTATATACCTACTGAGGAATAGATATGTTTTTTTAAGAGTCTTAGTAATTAGACTGCCCAAGTGAAATTGAAAAATGATGAAGCATGACATACCAATCTATTTTAATATGATGTATAGAATATTTCCTGCCCTGTTTTACAACATAGGAGGATGTTCAATAAAATTTTGAATATAGGATTTTTTAAAAGAAAGGATCTTTATAATATGATAAGCAATGAAAGTCTAGAAATGCTCAATGTTGAATCCAATAGAGCATAACAATAATCATAAGTTAGAATTTTGTAGCATCTTCTATATCTATCAGCTTATGGTTCTGATTGAACAACTCTAATAGATATTGAAATATCGTCCTTCGTAGCACTGATTCCAAAATTAAATATCTCTGTTTTGTCTCCATTGTGTGGTCAGATTGCTTCCCTGATGAAAAACTATGTAGAATGTCCCAACAATGACATTTGTGGCTACCATTTATTCAGTGTATATAATGTGCCAGGCAATGGCTATATGAGATTTTTTATTTGGAAGGTTCATTAGAAACTTAAGCTTACATTTTTAATTCTCTACATTACTAAAACTCAATTTATTTCATGCCATATAAATCAGAAACTTAGCAAGGTAAGAAAAAAAAAGGTACCTAAGTACTGCTTTGAGAATTCTCCTGTAGAACAAATTAAATATAGCTACTTAGAAAGATAGAAATTGCATTTAAAATGGCACAACCTGCAACACAAGAGAAAGTCCACTTGTATATGAGCGAAGAACAGTTACTAGGAAGAAAATTTGGTCATCATTTTACTCACATCCCACTTACAGAATTCCTAAGAACTTTGGTTTCCCAAGGGCTTCCCTGGTGTCTCAGATGGTAAAGAATCCACCTGCAAGACAGGAGACCCGGGTTTGATCCCTGGGTCAGGAAGACCTCCTGGAGAAGGAAATGGCTATCCATTCCTGTATTCTTGCCTGGAGAATTCCGTGGACAGAGGAGCCTGGTGGGCTACAATCCATGGGGTCACAAAGAGTCAGACAGAACTGAGGGACTAACATACTTTGGTTTCTCAAATGTCACCTTCATGTGTTCAAATAGCAGAAGGGATTATGAGGGGACCTTCTTCCAGCTCTATCCAACTTCAGGAACTCACGGCAGGTTGTTAAACAGAACTCTTGTGTCTGGTGCTATGACTCAACTTTCATACCTTGAAACTCAAAATGATCAATATTTAAGATACAATGCCATATATAACTCATTTGGACTAAGTGCCCCACCAAGCTTGATTGCGTTTATTTCTACTTTTTAATGAATTAAACTATTTTCTCTTTTATAACTTTTTCAGAGAAAAACTTTATCTTATGAAAAATTTGAAAGAATATAAAGACACTAATGACCTAACTTCAAAATTATCACCTCATGAGTCAATATTATTTCATGTCCCTCTCCTATTATTTATGGAAGATATCTACATGGTTCCAAAATCAAATCTACAAAATTAATACTATTGGAGAAGTCTGACTTCTATCCCTGCCCACTCCCCATTTTCTTCTCTTTCCTCTATAGAAAACTATTTTTTTTAGATTATTGTTAAATCCTCCCTTTTTAAAATATAAGCAAAACATTTATATTTCAACTTCTCCTTTCTGAGATAAACACTGGTGATCTACTGATTTTCAAAATATTTTAAAGTATTTGGAGCTTAAACTGACTGTTACAGTATAGCAAATGTTACAAGGCTAGCAGAGTTTCAGGCCAAAAAGCAAGAAACATGGTAATTTGTATCTATTTCAAAAATAAATATTTATTTGAACACTTTATAACTTTAAGACCCCAATTTTGTGACCAAAAAGAGGAAGAGAAGGCAGTTAATTTTTATTCAAAGCCTGATATTGGGGGGGGGGAAGCAATAAAGAGTTTGGAGATGTGTAAATAGATAGTAGTGTTAAAGATATGCTCATACAAGTGGAGTATCTTCAAAATGCATTCCTTCAGGAAACACATTAAGAGCAAGCCCTTCAGCAGAGTGGGATTTTATTCACAAACCCACTAAGTGATCTTCTTTCTCATAGATCGAATTGCACAGAACATCATTAAGTCCCATTTGGAGACATGTCAGTACACCATGGAGGAGCTACACCAGCTGGCCTGGCAGACCCATACCTATGAAGAAATTAAAGCGTATCAAAGCAAGGTATTCTGGGAAACGAAAGGGTTTTCTGTGATTTCTCTATTTCTGACTTTTTCATCCTCAGCCCTGCTGACATTTCAGGCTGGACAACTCTTTGCTGTAAGGACTGTCCTGCACATTGTAGGATGTTAAACATCATCTTTGGTCTCTACATATGAGATGTCAGTAGCATACCCTCCCACGTAGTTGCGACAACCAGAATGTGTCCAGATATTATCACATCTGGAGGCAAAACTGCTCTGATTGAAAACCAGTGCCCTGCTCATGTGACGGAGGAGACGGGGCCCACACTGGGTGACGTTAGGACCTCTCTTGGTGTCTTCTTTGGTCCAGGCAAGGAACGAGAGCAGCTGAAAATCATAGCAGTAATATCTGCAAACTTACTCTAGAAAAATATTAAACAATGCATTCTGAATGTTTTCTTGCCCGACGTGTCAAAAAATGACCAGAGGAAAAAGGGAGAACTCATCCCACATTATAACTGTTGTTTTTATTATAATTATTATTATTTTGATTATTTTGTGTCCATTAGAGAAGGTTTTAAGAGAAGGAATTTGTTGTTGTTGTTTTGACTCACATTATTTACAAGACTGAGATCCACAATCACAAAATCTACCAGTAAATTAACTTTTAATAAAATTTATAAATGTGTCTATATCTAAATATATGAGTATAACATACTGACTTTTCTCCAGTGGAACAATTAAATGTTACCACTTTTATATGAATAAGGAGACAAAAGCATAGGTATTATTACAGTCAATAAAAAATCAAAATTAACATACTTGGATTTCCAAAGAAAATAACCCAAGGATCAAAGTACATTTCTGGATTCTGTTGTACTTAAGAGAGTGATTTGATGTCTTTTCCACTGAAATTCTTTTTGTACCAAAAAGCAGTCTCCATAAGTTCTGGGAAAAGAACACAACATAAAAATATTACAAACTTAGTGTCAGTCAGATACACATTGAAAATAATTTTGTGGAAGTCTGTGAATGAAATTGCTATTACTGAGTGTAAGAGTTTGATTTGACAAAACAGACTAAGAGCTTGAGTTTGTTTAGGTGAGAAGAGGAGGAGAAAAAACTATTAAAAAACCTGTAAATATCTATCTTTACTATTGTAATATTTCCATTGTTTTAGCTTCAGTACTTTGATAATTGTGGTGTATCAAGGTTCAAATAAACCAAAGCAACATCTTAGAAAATATCGCCTCTCTTCTAAAGGGGGGTGAATTCCCACCGTGAACCCCAAGTGACAGATCAGCGCCGGTTAGAGCAACCTTGAGTGTTTCACTGAGTCTCCAAGTTGTTCTTGGCTCCATGTACATTCCGTGTTTCTCTCTTGAAGTCCAGGGAAGCACTATGGCAGCAATGTGCCATCCAGATAACTCACGCCATCCAGTATGTGGTAGAGTTTGCAAAGCGAATAACAGGCTTCATGGAACTCTGTCAAAATGATCAAATCCTACTTCTTAAGTCAGGTAAGCAAGAAGATTCATTGCTGGGGGGAAGGGGGTCTATTTTAGACCAGGATGTGGTCCACCCTTAGCTGAGGTTGGTTCTAGAAAATCCTCCATCTGCTATGTAGTCATTTTTACCACCCACACTGTCAGCCAACTCCCAAAGGAAACACTCAGTAATAAAAATGCCCTGATACTCATTCAGCTCGCCTTTGAAGTCAAATACAATTTTGCTTATTGAAAGTGGAGCTATTAATTGCGGAGGTTGAGATACCCAGCTTGACAGGCAGTGCAAGTAATTAGCGTGTCAAGGTGGCTGAATCGCTGAGCTGGCTCTAAAATGTATGACTTGCCTTCTGTTGGGGGCTGGAATCCAGGCTAGCTGAGCTCTGCCTCTGTGGTCATTTCCAATCATTTTAATGAGGATAGCCTGCAGCAAGAATACACTGGGAGAAGCTCACTCTGCTCTAATCTTTCCTCCCCGCCTCTCACACGGACTCCCTGACACACGCACAGTCACTTAGGAAGAACCTCAAGAAACTGCACAGGGTTCCCTTTGAAGCTGCCATTACCCAAGCAGGAAAACTGTTTACTTGTCTTTCTCGGCCCCCTTTGAAAATAGAAAATAAGAACCACTCTGGTGTTTACATAAAGGGCTACAGCAAATAATAATAACATCACTTTATATATGTAATAGCGCACATATACATGTGTATGTTTACCTATGACATCTTTTTTTCATCTCATGTGCTCAATATGGTTTCCATCTTATAAATGAGGAAGCAAGGATTTGAAGAACTGAAGGGCTGTGTTCAATAGCACATAGCCAGGACCTGGCAAAGCTGGCTTTTGAACTTGAGTCAGATAAAATAATTATTCTAAGTTGTTGCTGCTTCTTTACCAAATGATTAAAAAGGTGCAAATCTTGACTCAAACATGAACTTGATGTATTTGTTGCTAGATTAAAAATCACCCCAAAACTTAGTTCGAATAACAACAACAATCGTTTTGCTCCCAAAGCTGATTTGAGCAGGGCTCAGCGAGGGATGGCTCGTCTCTGCTTGCTGTGGTGTTCACCAAGGCAAGCAACTGAGGGCAAGAGGCCCCACTTCGACGCTGGCTCATGCACACGGCCGGCTGTTTGTGCCAGCTGCCAGCGCAGAGTTCACTCAAGGCTTTGGGCTGAAGGGCCTCGGTTCCTATCCATGTGAGCCCCTCCACAGACTGCTTGGACTTTCTCACAGCATGGTTGCTAGGTTTCAAAAGTTAGCATTTCAAGAGAGCAAGACAGAAGAGCATAGCATTTTTCCGACATTGCTTCCAAAGTCTCAGAGTGTTATTTCCACCTGACTAATAAGTCAAGGCAGTGATGAAACCTACCTTGGTTTAAGGGTAGGAGACATGGAATGTAAGCGGTCAAGTAAAGTACCTTCCATATTGGAGATACTGAACAAATGGTTCCTAATGATTATTTTCGTCAGAAAAGCATTATGTCCATTAATATTTGTGGATTCCCTATGTGTAAGCCCCTATGCTAAGGTGACATATGAGGGAAAGCAGAGAAATCAACAGAACAAAGAAATAAGACACCAGATTAAGAAAGGCACCAGGGGTACCTCGGGGTACCACACGGATGTAACCAAACCATCGGTGTGACGTTCTCATGCAAATGTGTGACTTCTGACTGTGGATGTCACCTTCCAACCTTTTGTGGGGCAAAAGCCCTTTTCTCAAAAATGTGGAGAAACCGTGCAATTGTTCCTCAGGATGTCAGTAAGTATTCAGAGGAACAAGCAGAAGTAGTAAACTAATTCAATTAATAAAGGTTTATTAAGCATCTACTATGTGCCAGGGACTTTTCTAGGTCCTGGAGATATAACAGTGAATAAAATAGGCCACAATTGCCTATGGTTACAGACAAGGGCCCTGCCACTACTGGACTAACAGCAAATTCAGAAACGTCAGGCCCGTCAAGGTTGAACAAACTACTTCTTGATGGGATTTCAATAAACCTTTGATCTGTGAATGTTGATTATAACTCCCTGGAGTGGATAATGCTCAGCATTTTGCCAAAACTTGTTTGACCTCTTTAAGAAACTCTTGTGTCAAAGACATGAATACATAAACGGTGCCCTCAGGAAACATCCTGAAGGTGTCGTTAAGTCATCATATGCAGAAATATAAACAGACTGTGTTAAAAACTGAAGGAGCTTGCAAGTTTTCCCAATACCAAAACTTCTACAAGAAGTTAACAGACTGAAGTTGCCTGCCACAAAACTTCTTTCTGGGCCAATTATCATCACCTGTAAATTTGCAACTAACTTTAATATTAGTAAAAGATGGGGCAGGGGGCGGGCGGAATACATTCTTCCAAAGAAAACATTGTTGCCCTCCATTTTAGTCACCTTTAAAGTATGTTTTATCTTTCATTCCTCACATATGCATCAAGAGCTTTATTTCTAACATAGTTCTTTTTTTACTTGGGAAGGAATCTTGAGGTGTTTCTGAATGTGTATGTCTATAAGTCTGTGTGTGTTTTAAAGTTTTTTGATTCTCTTGACCTACATGCAGTAGTAAGGTCTTTATTTTGTATATATACATAAATTTTTTTTTCGCATAGGTTGCTTGGAAGTGGTTTTAGTAAGAATGTGTCGTGCCTTCAACCCATTAAACAACACTGTTCTGTTTGAAGGAAAATATGGAGGAATGCAGATGTTCAAGGCCTTAGGTGAGTTCACCTTTGGTGATGACACAGTTTTATTAGCTACCATCAGTTTTATTGGCTACCATCAGTTCCTCCACTTAGATTATAACTGGTAAAAGAAATGTCCTGATTCTCTAATGAGAACTAGTATCTCATTATTCAATAAGGGTTTTACTAGGTGAGCCTCCAATGTTCCATCTAACTCCTTTGATTTTACAACTGTGCCCCCAAATATCAAAAGGAAGGAAAGAAACATGGACCCTCTTGATACCAGCCATGCTTCATTCAGAAGTCAATGAAAACGGATTCTAAAGAACTGGGATGCATTCTAAGCATTCTTTATAGAATCAGGTTTTCTTTTACTTTCTAGCTTACTGCTTCACAGAGTATATCATATAGACCACTGGTGGTCCATGGGTGACCTCTTAAGTTTCTTATGCAAGTTTATAATCATGAACTAAGATGCTTAGAAGAGGAACTCTTCCACTTGTTTTGCACCCAGAGTCATGGTTCTCCCTGTTAATTCATGAAGTTCTGAGAGCACAAACAGCATGGGTGCCAACTAGCCCTAAATGATCCGCAGACCGTTCTTGTGGGAGGGCAGGATAGAGTCAGTCTCTGGAAGTGTGTCGTTCAATTCCCATCATCAGTGTACGGGGTGGATAAGAATGTTAGCAAAGATGGACTGATGCCAGGAAAGGTTTTAACTATTGACAGTGTCATTTGTTCCATATCCTGCCCACAGACATCAAAGAAGGCCACTGCCCTTTCACCTTTTGTGCTGTTAGCTGATATGGTAGCCAACAGCAAGTCCACCAGGGCTGGCAGTGTTTCCCTCCTGTAGCTGATACACATCCATGTCATCTCCAAAGCTAGATTTTCAAGAAAGGAGGAAAGACATTGGCAAGCAACTTGGGTATATTTCCAGCTTCATAAAATAAACATTTACCAAGGATCATGTAGGGATGAAGCATTGTTTTGTGAGGATCCACAATGGCTAAGCACCTTACCTGCAAGTCGTTCATTAGAAGGTAAACAGGAATGAATATTTGCTCCTCAATTAAATTTCCAGGAAATTACAGGCACTTTATTGACAGGCACTTTATCTCCATTCTCTTAGTTTGAGGCCCATGGACATCTTACATCACCAGTGACATCCTATAAGTGCCACTAAAAATGACAGCCCTTGGCCCATTATACATAATATTTTAGGTTTTCTATGAATGCTATCTCTGTACTAAAGGATCCTCAAATCATGAATTTAAAATTTTTCAGCTGGAACTAATTTCAAATTGACAAGATTAGAGTGGGGTTATATAGTCCCAGTTGGATATTTCAATGGGTACACACTGTTTCTATCTGCCCTTCATTGGTAATTTTGACTTTCATTACCTGGTCAAGACATTGCCCAATTTTCTCGTTCTACAATCATCACTGAATCACTTCTCAGGTTGTCCTGATGGTTCAGCAGGTGAAAAACCACCTGCAATGCAGGAGACCCAGGAGATGGGGGTTTGGTCCCTGGGTTGGGAAGATCCCCTGGAGAAGGGAATGGCTACCCACTTCAGTATTTTTGCCTGGAGAATTCCATGGACAGAGGTGGGTTCATGAGGCCCCAGAGTCAGACACAACTGAGTGACCAAGCTCCCAGCAGAGCCCAGATCACTTCTCTGGTCAGGAACTTGGAAATATTTTTTCTCTGTGCTTAGTATGCTAGTCCTTGAATAATTTCTTGTTTATGGGACTTTTTCTTACTGCTACACCATTCTATTCAAGTATTTTTCACTTGATTTGCCTTCTTTTATAGGTTCTGATGACTTAGTGAATGAAGCATTTGACTTTGCAAAGAATTTGTGTTCCTTGCAGCTGACTGAGGAAGAGATTGCTTTGTTTTCCTCTGCTGTTCTGATATCTCCAGGTAGGGAGGTCTGAGGTACTTACTATTAAAAAAAAAAACAAAAAACCTGTTTTGCTATCTTTAACATGAATTGCACCTACCCAAGCCAAGGTTCGCTGGAGAAACTTTAAAAGAACTATCTTTTCTTTAGCAAGCTTGTGATATTTTTGGACAATTCAAAGAAAAGTACCCTCATGTTAATTTGAAGGATCCATTTGGTCTCAAGTGCAAGAGTAGCGTGTGTGGTAAGGTTGACTCCAGATTCAGAAAAGCAGCATCATTTCTTAAAGGATAAATGAAAAATAGTGGCCTGAGTTATAACTAAGTTCTATTTTGATTTTAAGAATAAAGGACACAGAAACAATGTCCAATAAGGTGAGACTTAGAAATATACCTGAATGAACAAGCCAGCATAGGGATTAAAAAAAGTAAAACATATACTTTCTTTTCTTTAAATATCTGTTTCACTGGCCTTTCTATCCAAATTAATGTTAGCGTTCTTCCTTCAGGCAAATGCTGGTGCCTCTTTGTTGTTGTTTAAAGCAATGTTAGAAGCTTTAAGGACATCAGAGGTAAAAATGGCTCCTGCTAAAGACTGGAAAAGGAAGGACCTCTGATGTAGTTGTAGAGACTCTAGAACAGGTTCTATCACCAAATATCTGGGTGACCTTAAACACTTGACCCCTCAGAATCTCAGTTTCCTTACCTGCAAAGAGGGTTGAGTTTCATAACAATAAAGACCCAGTCTAGCTCTGAAATGCAATAAACAGCAGAAAGTTTTCAAAGCAGGTAAGGTGTGACATTTATAGATCAAATAGCACTATAGTCATTGAAATTCTTTTTAAAAGCATGTGCCAGCTTGAACCTGTATAGAATCCTAATAAATGCATGGTTCCTTCCTCAACCAGAATGAAAAGTCAGAGCTGCTCATTCAGTCATCTGTTGGGTTAGATTTGAGGTCAAGGAATAGCAGTGTCATTAACAGTTCTCTATAGAAAGAAAGACACATTCCTGGTCATTTTTATGGTCAAGAGACTCATTCCTTCTATAACCCATTTACCTCTAGAGACTTGCTCTTTTCTCTTTTCTTACACCTAACACATTTTTCAGCAAGGCTGGAAGGAATTAATCTTCCTGGTGATGGGACTTGTTGACATATCACTACTAGCTATGTGTACCCACAATACAGCCTTTATACTTTGTATCTGGTAGACTTTATTTACTTATTTTTAAAAATTTTTTAATGATTTTTTAAAATTTGATTCTGTTTTTTATTACTTTATCAAAAATGGAAGTTAGTTATCAATTGGCATGTTATTACTAACAGTTTCTTTTGTGGCTCTGTCTAAAATAAAGTTGTTCCTCCAAGCTTTTTCCTTTTTTTTTTTTAACCCTAGAAGGTTTTCCAGACTCGGCAGCACAAAGATAAGTGGAAGAAGTGACAAGAAAGATTTATTTCTGGTAGCAACCAAATGCCAAATAATTTTCCTCCTGCCATTTTCTCATTGCATTTGATTCTTCCCATCGATTATAGTTCAGTAGAAGATTAATTCTAAGCCTGCAAGTCTATGATGAGACAGGTGGTTTCACTCTGATTCCAGCTTCCTCAAAGGAAGCAATACAGATTCACTGTCCTCTTAGGTATGTGTGTGGCAAAATCAGTAAATTCCCAGCAGCAAATATTTAAGACACAATATATCAAATCTAAACAATCCATGAAAATAATTGCCCCACTTGAAAAGCAAACATGCTTCTTATGAGTGAAAAATCAGCTGAACTATGAGCCTTTTTCTAGGAAGAATATGCTAAAGCCATCAAATTCCAAAGAGTTTGGAAGTGAAGCATGAGGTTTAGCTTATTCTACCCTGTGAGGAATCTTCCAGCCCCGGTCACAGACCCACACTCAGAGGCTTCTAGAAGCAACTCCAAGACACCATGTTTGCCACCTTGGCATAGTGCCATATTCAAAGAGGAAAGACAATATTCCAGCCTGTGGAGGCTCCATCTCATGCCAGACCCACCCTTCCGCCCAGGTTCTTGCCATAATAGTTACTGTCTATTCAGCTCCGGATGGTTTGGGGAAGGGAGAAGCAGGGAAACTTAATGTATTCTGATTGACAATGGTCACTAAAGGTTTTTGTGCTCACTTACGTAAGGGTTTGCTTAACTGTTGGCTAGACTTGTCCTGGCCCTGTCTAGGATTACAGAATCGAGTTTCTCACCTGACCTGAACTGTGTTCAGAAGGATCATGTGAAGTTCTTTTCCATGAGTATTTGTTCAGCATTTGGACACTCTGGGTGTCTCTTCACTGAAGTTTCAACCTAAGGCATTGATGCTGGACTGAATTTTGTCACCATGGCATAAAGCATCTAGGAAGAAAGAAGAACGAAATGAAAGAAGAAAGGGAGGGAGGAAAGAAAAAAGAAAGTAGGAGAGGCTAAAGGAAAGGAGGGATTATCCTAGCCATTACTTAAATATTCAATATAGAAACAGAGGACTCAGGATTAATTTTTATATTGATTCATGTTGATACTATATAAATTATAACAGCTTATATAAAAGAAGGGAGATCCTGAATACCAAAAATGCTCCTTTACAATAGATTTTCTTCACTTCTATAATTCATTTCTTCACAAATCATTAACTTAAATTTGAAAGAAAATCTAAGCATATGTCCAGAGAGTGAGTAAGAGATGTAAACTGCAACAGACAGTAAGACACACGGAGTGTCTTTGAATCACAGTGTCTTTACCTCCACCCTGATTTCCTGCCAGCGTTTTGTACATTACTGTCCTCATGGCATTGCTTATAAACTATTCATTTTAGAAAAATAATTACACGTCTTCAGAAGCACTTTAGACAATTTGAGTTAGGTCTAGATCTCAGCACTTACATATGTAGGTGAAATACAACAAAACTTACATTCTGTCCCCTTCCTACCCACCCTTTTCCTTTCTCAGACCGAGCCTGGCTGATAGAACCAAGGAAGGTCCAGAAGCTTCAGGAAAAAATTTATTTTGCACTTCAACATGTGATTCAGAAGAATCACCTGGATGATGAGACCTTGGCGAAGGTAGGTCCTCAGACCACAGACCCCCCCCATCACTGACAGAGCCCATTGAGCAGAGGAGGGCTAGTCACATAAGGCAAGGAACATATCTCATCAGCAACAAGATCTGAAGGTTACCAAAGGTGGCATAAACTTCGAGTGTGCATTTTAAAAGGGACACTAGGAAACTATAACGAGTTGAGAGGACAATAACTTCTTAGTCAAGGATGATATTGATGGGTCTGAACCCCAGATAGAGGAAGACACATTATAGGAACTGAGGGTGATTATCTGGAGAACAAAAGCTTATCTGAAGAACAAAGGCGAGGAGACAAGTCTTCAAAAATCACATGTGAAGAAAGAGGAGATTTTGTGCCACTTGGGAGTCTGGTCTAGACAAAAGAATGGCTAGATTTTTATTCAAAATAAGGAAGAACCATAAATTGATGAGAACTGCTGAACAGAGGGTGGACCAGTGAGTGGGGTGAGGTCCCTGTCACTGGTCAGATCCTTAGCGATGCCACCGTGTTTCCTTTCAGATATGTTGTTAGTGACGTCCTATCCAGAGGAGGAGATTAGACTGATGCCTTGTAAATTTTCCTTCAACTTGAATCTCCTCACTTCTACGGGGATTCTTTCAAAATGAAGTATCTCAAGGGCAGACTGCATGCACAAGCTTTCCATGTCATTCACAATTCAACTTAATTAAAAATAGTGATCCTTTAGAAGAATTCTGGAAGAAGTTATGTACCAACATAAAATGATCATAAGAGGAATAAGGAGTTTTCTAATGATATCTAGCATTATTTTAGATCCTAAGGTATCTTAAATTTCTTAAGAATTGGAGTTTTTTTAGAGGTTAAGCAACTAAGAAGTAGAGCTTATCCTCAAAGATGATAGTTAACCGACTCTATATTTTTATCATTAAAACTTTCCCACTCTGCTCTTGAAGTTCTTTATTTTAAAAGGGGGGGGGGGGGACTCTGCTGGAGATACGATCAGATTTTACTTTGCACTTACAGAGTACTGCCATAAAAAACCTCCATGAGTTAAATATGCTGCTTCATTATGGTAACATTTTGCTAAAATTAACACATCACTAGGAAGAACATTTCTACACCATAGAGTGATAGTTCTCTTTGATGTAACTTGTCACTTATCACGTGGGCAGGGACAAATCCCATGCTCTTTCTCCCAGGTAAGAGCAAAACTTCAACATGCTTTCAGATACACTGGGCAGAAATGATGATAATGTGGATATATGCACCTGTCTCTCTAATTGCTGTGTAGCATGTATGCATAAATGCTTCTGGTTAGTTAATATTGGCAGGAAGAATGTTTCCTGCATTTGGATCTCCCAAAGACTTTGGTCCCCATATTTACCACCCTAAAATCCAGAGTTAGACAAAACTATTCCATTTCAGGGGATCATCGTCTTATCAGAAAACCATGGTTCTTTCATCTGTAAAATTAAGTTTATAATTTCTAACTCCTATAGAGAAGTATAGGATCATGTGAGATATATACACTGCATCAATTCTAACACACTGTGACATGGTGATTATTACTTCCCCAAGACAGTAACCCGCTTGCTTGTACCATTTTCTACTACTTGGTTGGTATCCTGATGGTGATCTGAGGTATTTTGGGGTAGAAAGGAGACAGAAAAATTGAAGATGAAAAATTCAGTTCAGTTCAATCACTCAGTCATGTCTGACTCTTTGTGACCCCACAGACTGCAGCATGCCAGGCCTCCCTATCCATCCCAACTCCTGGAGTCCATCCATCCATTGAGTGGGTGATGCCATCCAACCATCTCATCCTCTGTTGTCCCCTTCTTCTCCTGCCCTCAATCTTTCCCAGCATCAGGGTCTTTTCCAATGAGTCAGCTCTTCACATCAGGTGGCCAGAATATTGGAGTTTCAGCTTCAACATTAGTCCTTCCAATGAACACCCACGACTGACCTCCTTTAGGATGGACTGGTTGGATATCCTTGCAGTCCAAGGGACTCTCAAGAGTCTTCTCCAACACCACAGTTCAAAAGCATCAATTCTTCGGCCCTCAGCTTTCTTTGTAGTCCAACTATCACATCCATACATGACCACTGGAAAAACCATAGCCTTGACTAGACGGACCTTTGCTGGCAAAGTAATGTCTCTGCTATTTAATATGCTGTCTAAGTTGGTCATAACTTTCCTTCCAAGGAGTGAACGTCTTTTAATTTCATGTCTGCAGTCACCATCTGCAGTGATTTTGGAGCCTCCAAAAATAAAGTCTGACACTGTTTCCACTGTTTCCCCATCTATTTGCCATGAAGTGATGGGACCAGATACCATGATCTTAGTTTTCTGAATGTTGAGTTTTAAGCCAACTTTCCCACTCTCCTCTTTCACTTTCATCAAGAGGCTCTTTGGTTAAAAATATGTAATAGAAAAAAAAAATTAAAACACCAGATAAAGTCAGCTTAACTCTCCTTTTTCCATCTTTAGTGGGAAAGGTATACAATTATTTTATTTTTTAAGTATAATTAACATACAACATTATATTAGGCTTAGGTATATGACATAATGATTCAATATGTGTATATGCTGTGAAGAGTCATGTCCGACTCACAAAGACTCGGACAAGACTGAGCAACTGAACTGAACTGATATGTTGTGAAACGAACACCACAGTAAGTCAAGTTAAATCCATTCAGTTCTTTTCTTATGGAAAGAGAATGTTGTAAATCTGGGAATCAGAGAAAGTGTTAGAAAGGATAATTTCTTATATAAAATTCACTGGAGTCAAATGACAAAGCATTGCTTCCACTGGTCATGTGTGGATATTGAGTTTCTGTGTGGACCTTTCACTGTAACAGTCATCATTTGATAGGATGTTATGTGAACTAGGGGCTTCCCTGGTGGCTCAGAGGGTAAAGAATCTGCCTGCAATGCAGGAAACCCAGGTGCGTTCCCTGGATCAGGAAGATTCCCTGGAGAAGGGAATGGCTACCAACTCCTTTATTCCTGCCTGGAGAATTCCATGGACAAAGAACCTGGTGGGCTACAGTCCATGGGATCACGAAGAGCCAACGATGACTGAGCAACTAACACTATGTGAACCAATGTGGAGGGACCATGAGATGGGATGAGCATTGGGTTCTCATTTCTCCCTGCTCTGGACCATGTGGTTTTGCATAAGTCACTGCATTTGTCTAAGTCTCAGGTTCAATTGTGTTGGGGAAAGGGAAGGGACAGGCAAGTCTCTTGAGTTCCTGACTGCCTTCATACTCTTAAGGATAATGGCGCCATTGACATATAGGGACACCCTCTCATCAAACCCATGCTCTCCAAAAGAAATAAACAGTTTTATCTAAATCCAAGGAAAACTATCCCACCAAACCACAGATACTTTTCATATTTTCAGAAATTGCTTCTTTCACCTTCATAGCCATGGAGCGCTTCTGCCTCCATGACACCCTAAAAGAGTGACCTCTCTGGGCAATCAGGCACACAGTGTGAAACTTATCTCCAGAAAAATGTGCACATATGCAACTGCTGTACTCAAGTCCAGGGGTTTGGGTTATAGCCTCAGTAAGCGGGGTAGATCTGCTTCTGTGCAAAGGACAAAGACTGTTAATACTGCCAGCCAGTTTGACCCTGAGCAGGTGTAGCCAGTTTCAAGTGAGGTGCAGGGTTCAGACATAGTCATTAGATTTCATCTGGAAAAAACTGTCTCCAAAACACTTTCTGCATGCCCACTTCCTGAAATTAAAGTTCAAGTAGCAATGCCTTATAGCTTTGACCAAACTGGGACCTGGAGAGGATTTTAAATTCAGGAATTTTAATCCATTAACTAAAAGTTCTCAACCCCTGTGTCTTGATCAGTTTATTTATTTTTTTGTTTGTTGGGGTAAAAATAAATAATCCAGTTTCCTCTTTTCATGATCATGATGATAATATGTAGCACATATGTAATGAACCATCAGAACTAGCTTAGTTACTCTGCACAAGTGACTTAACCTCTCTGTGCCTCGGTTTTCTTATTTGTAAAATGTGATTAAAGATAGTATTGATATCATATGGTTATTTTGAGGACTGAATGAGATCAAATATAAGCATGGTACATGATTCATAACCAATATGTAAGTGCTGTTGTTGTAGCTTCTATGGACAGAAGAAACTTTGTTTCCGCAAGGAAATATTTTATCCAAGAAATGGGTATATTTGAACTAATCGCTGATGAATGCATATTGTTTCAAAGGATGGGAGCTACAGGTTTAGGGAGGTGAAGTATGGCATTCCAAGTGATGGTGGCGATGATATATATATATATATATATATATATATATATATATAAATACATATATATATATATATAAAAGAAAGTATAAGCTGTATGCAGACTATGAATAATAGTTAGATTTGGCTGGATCCCAGATTTGAGAAGTGAGGAAATGAGATAACACTGGTCACTCTCACTAAAGCCTACAAAAGAAATACATACATATTGGAGAAAGACATGTCAACCCACTCCAGTATTCTTGTCTGGAAAATCCCATAGACAGAGGAGCCTGGCAGGCTACAGTCCATGGGGTCACAGAGTCAGATACCACTGAGCGACTAAACATGTATGTACATATATGGTCTTCTCTAGTGGCTCAAATGGTAAAGAATCTGACTGCTGGCTCAGGAAGATCCCCCAGAGAGAGGAATAGCTACCCACTCCAGCATTCTTGCTTAGAGAATTCCATGGAGAGAGGAGGCTGGCGGGCCACAGTCCATGGGTCACAAAGAGTTGGACATGACTGAGTGACTATCACTTACTATGCATATATATGTATATGTATGTATATATGTATATGCATATATACACATATATTTTTAAGCCCCATATGACTAGGGGAGGCAGCCCATCTGTTCTTTGGGCTTCAATTTTTTTGTCTCCTAAATAAGGAGGTTGGACTGGATGGTCGTTAAGTTCCCTTCAGTATAATATTCTTTGACTCTAGAAGAGAAAAACAAAGTTTCCTTCTAACATC